CGGAGGGCAACAGGTGACAACTGGAAGTAGGCAAATGTCATCTGATGAGCTCTGTGCCTCTTTCTCCTTGAAATGGTGAAGACGTGTCCTATGATGGGGAAAATGCTCCATGTGATGAGGTCATAGATTGCAGCCAGGTAGATGTTGGAGCTTAGATTACTATAATATGTTTAAAGTGTGCTAAGAGATCTCAAGGTTCATCTAGCCCACTCTTACTGCTATTATTTATTTATTTGCCATATTTGTATACCGCCTTTCTCAGCCTGGAGGCGACTCAAGGCAGTTCACTGACACATGGACATCAAATCTCTGTTTAAAAACATTCAACAAAGGGAGTGCACCACTTTCCAAGGCAATCCACCCCCATGTTTGACAGTTGACAGTTCTTACACTCAGGAACTACTTGCTCATGTTTAAACAGAATGCCTTTTCATTGACTTATGTGCTGTTTTTGAGATGAGGAGAAAACAAGCTTCTTCCATCCTATGAAATCTCTGGGCTCTGATTCTGACCTCCCCTTCTTTCTTGACTTCCTTGCTTGCTCTGTTTTCCCAGTCCCTTCACATCCCTGCTAATTCACTTTACCCTGCCAAGGCTGCTTCTCTCCAATCACCCTTTCCTCTATCATCCTTTCTGGTGTGTGTACAACTGGCTCCTGAACTTTCTGGCTCTGCATCTGTTCTCCTTTCCTTCTTGACCTGCCTGCTTATTTTGATTCCCCGATTCCTTCTCATCTCTGGTATTTGACTTCATCCTCGACAAGGCTCTCCTCTCCAGCTGCCTGCTTCACCGCACTTTCTCTTACTGGAAAATTCGAAGACACAGCTCAAAGAAAGCTGTCAGCAACTAAAGGTCTTTCACAAATATTCTTGCTACTAACAGAGAACCAAAATAAGAATACTTGGGGAGAAGGGGAGATAATTGAATATATTGTTTACCATTCTTCTCTGCAAATGTTGTAATTAGAGGGTGCTGGAGCCAGAAACGTCACTGGGTAAAGTCCAATTTCCCTTCTGCCATTTTGCTATTATTTGAACTCATATATATTGCAAGATATTGGAGACAAATCCCCCCTCTTCAATATAATTTAACTTAATTGCTTCAGACAAATCCTAACCACACCAACTCAAGATTATTTTGAATCAATCCAATCCAATTTGGGATTGGGGTGGATTGGTTGTACAGCTCAAGGTGAATCTTTTTGCAGTGCCTGTTACTGCAGTCAGGTCTGTAAATCATTTTTCTCCAGAAGCCCTTTGTGCTGATTCTGCTACTACTGAAGTTGCTGCTGACATATACCATTGACCATTTTGTTCAGGATTTAGAGTTGCTGCCTCTGAGTAGGTGCAAACTGGTGACCTTGGCCTAGTGATCTGCAATAGTATCTGTTGAGATAAAAAGAAATCTATTGAGGTGGAACAAATGTGATTGAACTGGGTTATTGACACAGATATCAAGGAGAAATGCTTTAGAGAAATGAAAGAACCTAGGCAGAAGGAATAGAAAAAGATTGTGGCTTGTTTTTGTTTTTTTTTTTGTTTGCTCAGAAGATAGTCATATTTCTGCAAATAATGTTGATGGCAGTTTTTTTCTGATGTCTTTTGAGTATATAAAAGCACATAGGCAAGAATACTGCAGTGCTGAATCGCTCATCTAGTGGACTATAGCATGAAAACAAATACACACAGAGAGACAAGGAAGTAGTGACACTGAAGACAAGAAGAGTGGGATCTCAGGGTTAAAACACTATAGAAATCGTGCCTTCTTTCTTCTTTGCCACTGCCGCCTTCTCCTTCTGCATCAATGAAATTATATCCATTATTATATTATCTTGTTTAGTACATAAAGTTTTCCCTTCTTTCCCTATGCTATTAAGTGGAGCCAAGCATGTAGCTGGGGGAGGGCTTGAGGGGCTTCAGTCCCCCCCCCCCCGAAATTCTCATGGTGGATCGTGAGAAGGCCTTACTGGTACATTGTTTAAACTGTTAGGTTTATTCATATCATGATTTGATCACCATTCTCAATATATCCCATATGCATGGGGGTATTAGGGTAACGATACAAAAGGTTTGCTAGGGTAGACCCTCTTTCACTCAGACTCAGCCCCCCCCCCCCCCGAAATCAAACTCAGCCTTCCCCCGAATCAAAATCCTGGCTACGGGCCTGAGTGGAGCTTAAAACAATCTTAAGCTTTATGTTAGTGTAGGTTTCCCCTGAGTAAGAAAAGTGTAGTCAATAAAGAACCTATATTTACTGAGAACCTTAGCATATGCTATATCCTGCCAAATGACTAGCCATTGACATAATTATGACACAAACTATTATATGCTGGACTTACTTTAGTTTTTTAGATTATAAGTAAAACCACACAAGATGAAATGAAAATGCATGTGTGTTTATTTCTTCTTGGGTTTTTTTTTTGGGGGGGGGAGGTATTCTTATCTTAGAAATCACTTTATGTCATATAATCACATGACTTTTTGTGTGTATATACAGTGTATACAGTCAATCTTTAGTATCTGCTGGGCTTTGGTGCCCCCACTCTTTAATGGATATCAAAACCCATGGATGCTCAAGTCCCATTATATATAATGTTTAGTTAAATGGTGTCCCTTATATAAAAAAAGCTTGTTTTTAGGATTTTTTTTCAAGTTGTGATTGGTTGAATCAGTGGATATAGAGGGTTGACTATGTGTATTGCATATATGTGTATAACTATCACACATATCCACTACATGGTCTTCAAATTTCCCTTAATTTCAATCAAATATTTTGCTTGTAGACAAACTTCCAACTATCTTTAGATTTCTCCAGATATGAAAATCAGGATGGAGCCCATTGCACAATTTCCATCTGGGCTCTATCAGGGAAGGGGAGAGGAAGTGGTGTATGCCACCACCACGGCAACACAGGAGGCTTCTTATGATACTTTGAGGATGATGGGGGGAAGCCAGGTGGCAATGCTTCCACCATGTGATGAGGTCCCAAGTAAGTCGCATCCTCCATGCCCCCCAACAGAACCCTATGGATTTGCCACAATTAGGTTCATAATGTCCCTTTGTTTTTTCTTGTTTTTATCCCCACTGTAAACACTATAGACTGTGTATGTGTGTGTGTGCATGTGTGAGATATAGACACAGAGAGATTCATGAGTAGCTACAAAGGATGGTGAATAATAATGGTTTTGGTTTTTTACAAATAAATTCCTATAAAGGATTCAGTGGATTACCTTTTAAAAAGAAAGGTCACAGAAGAGAAACAGGAGGCAAGTGATTACTCCTCTCCTCCCACCTTCCACTTCTTCATGCATCCCAAACATTTGCTCCAATGAATAAACCTCTGAGACCATTTTGGGAGAGAGGGAAAACAAAGCTTCTCATACAATGAATTTAAGCTCTAATATATAAACCATAATGCAAAATTAATTCACAATTAAAACATTTCAGCTACATAACTATTTTGTGAACAAGATACACAAAGATACAACTGCTCGTTTCAGTTACACTGAACAGTTTATGGATAACAAATTTTTCATATATAGCAGTCCATGAAACATTCAACAAATGTGTATCATGTTCATAACCTTTTCAATATTAATATAAAACTACACTGAGGAGTGTTATATTCCATCTATTCTAATTAGTGAATTTATTCATTTGTATAAAGTTTCAGTTTTGAATTCATATCTATGAAAAAATACTTTAAGATAATTGAATGCACAAATTAGTTAATATTTCTTGCAGCCTAGCAAATTAGAAGGGAATTTAATACATCCAGTTGGGCATCTAGATTATTATTGTTCTGTTACACTGGGATACAAAATAGAATTGATATTATACTCTTTATATTTAAAATTTTTTACCAAAGTTTATTTTTATTCAGACGAGTGCTGTTCATTTCCTAAAGAATCTTTTTTTATGAAATATACATATATTATACTAAATAATTTTTGTATCACTCTATAAGAAAATAGATTAGAAACCTTTAATTGCACGCTATAATGAATGCAGTTTTCTCTGTGGGGTAATTAATGGTTGGAAAGGAAGCATGACTTGGATGTGTGAGTGTGAAAACAAAGCATACAAGGAGTTCAGTTGATACTAGTAATTGTTTTCCCTCTAGAGTATTTTAAATTCAGCTCATTTGGATATCCTTCTCACAAAAATGTGGAATGCATGATTTTGTTTTCTGTTAATTGAGAGTGTGAATAGGCTCGAGCCACATCTCATCTGCATTTAAACCACAGAAGCAGCTGCAGCATCTGATTCAAGTGGGTGGAACTGTACCAGAAGAGAAAGTGAATAAAGACAAATCTTTAAACATGGGCTTCAGATAGAAGTCCATAGGCACAATAAATACAGGTTGAGTGTTCCTTGACTAATATATTTTGGGTCAGAAGTCTTGTGGATTTTGAATGAAGGGGAGGTTTGGAATATTTGCAAATACATAACAAGATATCATGGAGATGGTAACCGAGTCTAAACACAAAATTCATTCTGCTTCTTGTAGCCTCAATTATTTTATTTTTTTTGTAAAGCAGTTTGCGGACATTAAACCATTAGCAAGCAAAGGTATCAGTGTCTTAGCCACTTATGTGGACATTTTTGGATTTTGAGGCCTTCAGGATGTCCAGATAAGGGATACTTAACCTATATGAGGAGACAGGGAGTTTGGATGGAATGTGAAATACACCATTTTAAATGCAACACAGCATCATCCACAACGCATAAAGCTAGTTTTCAAGAAAAAATGGCAAGTAAAATTTACACTGAAAAGATCAAAGAAAGCTTATTTGTACTATTAGCTGGATTCAGGGTTATGGAGTTTTGCCAGAATTGTGCGTTTTTTCACATCTACAATGAAATAGATTATATAGATCCAGATATTTTTTTCAATTAAAAAAAGAAAAATCTTGGAAGCATTATTGTAACTATGTATAAACCAGGTGTATAGTTTTGTGTAGAAATACTCTTATTAATTACACTATTGATATTTCTCAGCAGGTGCTACCACCATAGAGAAGTATGATCTCAGGACAAATATATGGATCCAAGCAGGAGTGATGAATGGCAGAAGATTACAGTTTGGTGTGGCTGTCATTGATGACAAACTCTTCGTTATAGGAGGCCGCGATGGTTTAAAGACATTAAACACTGTTGAATGTTACAATCCAAAGACAAAGGCATGGACTATTTTGCCTCCAATGTCAACTCATAGGCATGGCTTAGGTAAGAAAGAGATTTCCCAGCATTTTCTGTGATTAAAATTTTTAATTTGCAGTGAAAACCTACTGATTATCATCAATTAAATTGTATATTCTGTAGTTATATATTAAGTGCATTCTTGTTGGGACAACACATCCCAGGGCCTTGCAAGCTTTTTGAAATTTTGCTTGATTCAGTTATTTTGACTGGCCATCCATCTGATTCAGACAGACCTGATTGATTAGTGTCTGAATTGGACCTACAAGTAATGGAAATTGCCATTCATTCCCTCAACTTCCATTAGGAAATCAAAATGATCAAAGTGTCTTCAGGTTTTTTTTGGAGATCTGCATAAAATGTGTGAAGGCATATATTTGTATTTGAAGGTATTAGCACCAGAGTGTTTTGTGCCACTCAGTTTGCTTTCATGTTGTTGTTGTTGTTCATTCATTCAGTCGTCTCCGACTCTTCGTGACCTCATGGACCAGCCCACGCCAGAGCTCCCTGTCGGCCGTCACCACCCCCAGCTCCTTCAAGGTCAGTCCAGTCACTTCAAGGATGCCATCCATCCATCTTGCCCTTGGTCGGCCCCTCTTCCTTTTGCCTTCCACTTTCCTCAGCATAATTGTCTTCTCTAGCTTTCCTGTCTTCTCATGATGTGGCCAAAGTACTTCATCTTGGCCTCTACTATCCTTCCCTCCAATGAGCAGTCAGGCTTTATTTCCTGAAGTATGGACTGGTTGGATCTTCTCGTGGTCCAAGGCACTCTCCGAACGTTCCTCCAGCACCACAGTTCAAAAGCATCTATCTTCCTTCGCTCAGCCTTTCCTAAGGTCCAGCTCTCACATCCGTAGGTTACTACAGGGAATACCATGGCTTTGACTAGGCGGATCTTTGTTGCCAGTCTGATGTCTCTACTCTTTACTATTTTATGGAGACTGGACATTGCTCTCCTCCCAAGAAGTAAGCGTCTTCTGATTTCCTGGCCACAGTCTGCATCTGCAGTAATCTTTGCGCCTAGAAATACAAAGTCTGTCACGGCCTCCACGTTTTCTCCCTCTATTTCCCAGTTGTCAATCATTCTTGTTGCCATAATCTTGGTTTTTTTATGTTTAGCTGCAACCCAGCTTTTGCGCTTTCTTCTTTCACCTTGATTAGAAGGCTCCTCAGCTCCTCCTCGCTTTCGGCCATCAGAGTGGTGTCATCTGCATATCTGAGGTTGTTAATGTTTCTTCCAGCAATTTTCACCCCAGCCTTGCATTCATCAAGCCCCGCACATCACATGATGTGTTCTGCATACAAGTTAAAAAGGTTGGGTGAGAGGATGCAGCCTTGCCGTACGCCTTTCCCAATCTTGAACCAGTCTGTTGTTCCGTGGTCAGTTCTGACTGTTGCTACTTGGTCCTTGTACAGATTCCTCAGGAGAGAGACAAGGTGTTGCTTTCATATTTTAACATTATTCAGCTGTTTTTATCCACTTTTCTCATGTGTGTGATAGATAGATAATAGGGTTGGATAGGTTTGCTTGGATGTGGTGTAATGCAGAAAAAAACGGATATTTTTGCCTTTTGAAGGGATTTCCGCCACGTTTCTGCAAGGCCTGCTGGGAGGCAAAGCCTAAGATGCTTGCCTTCCAGCCAATCAGGGGTTACATTTTGGGGAGGGGAGGGTTTTGCAGCATCTGGCAGCCATTGTTGTATATAAACCCAAGCACATGGTTGGAAAGCTCATTGGCAGCCAGGGAAGGGAGAGGGGAGGTAGGACCGTTGTTGTTGCTTCTGCTTGTTGCTGTTGGGTGTGGGATAGAAGAAAGGGTTTAGAGCCAGAGGAAAGGAGTTTTTGATAACGGAGGAAGGCAAGGCAGAAGGGAAGATTTTGAGAGAGGAAGGGTTTGGAGCCAAAGAAACGGAGTTTTAGAAAACAGAGGAAGGCAAGGAAGAAGGGAAGATTTTGAGAGAGGGAGGGTTTAGTTACTATTACAGTGAAAGTTCTAATAAATACAAAACTATCACATGGCTCCAACAACCCTCTATTCATAATCATTTTTAACATCTTTTCCCTCAAGCAAATCTCCCATCTCTTCTTCTTTGTCCTGTGCTTCCCCCCCCCCTCCCCGTTCTGTTGCTTTCTGAAACATTCGAAAAGCACTGTGCCTTTCTTTTGATGCCATTTGAAACCTGAATCAGTCCAAACAGGTTTGGACATATTTGGATTAGTTCGAACTCAATCGGCCTGCTTCAGCTTGACATACAACTGAACTTGTTACACAGCCTTAGGAGAAACAATTCTCGGTATAGCATCGTTGACTGGGAGGATAGCAATATGAACAAAACGTAACTGTTTCCAAATAGTTCTGGAAAAGGAATACAGTGCACAGTGATTTATCAAAGCTAAATTATGTGAAAAGTGCAAAAGGAACAACAATTAGGGAGAGCAACCAGTCTGTACAAAACATATATGAAATCGCTGTGATGTGCTAAGTATCTGAGACAAGTAAAAACATGGATTTCAAGGATGATGTCAGAGGAAGATACTAAAAAAACTTACCAGTATTCCTTGTCTACAAAAATTCTATGAAAGTGGCTTGAAGGCATGTATGAATATATTTATATGGCTGAACTCTGAATTAGTACATGCAAAGTAGCAAGTATGTTCATACTATCTACAAAAGAATATTTTATTTCAAACTTGTACTCATAAATTGCTAGCTTAGCCACATGAGCCTCTTCCTCGTAGACAGCTTCATCGCTCAAGACCTGTCCTAGCTGAAAATTTACCACTGGATGTCAGTCATATTATCCATTTATTTTTTAATGCCATCTTTATATCCAAATACATCTAAGTTATTTTAATCTTTTAAAAATATTTTTATCAAACATGTGTAATACTAATTCAGATCTTCATGTGTTTGATCAAATGATGGCAAGGGCTTTTAATTTAATTTGTCAATAGAAGCTTTTAACTAGATTATACTGTGTTTTGTTTTGTTTTATTTTTGTTATTAAAATACTTATTTTATGTTGAAATTGTATTTCGTTTACTCTGTTTTACTATAAGCCATCTGGGATCTTGTATTTGGAAGAAACTGAGACAGAAATATATAAATAAAAATACATCCTCCCTGACATGATATCTTTTGATAACATTTTCTATAGGGTGCACTTTTAAAAAAGATAAAGCATGACTTTCTGAACTATGTTCTGCCATAGTACTTTCTCAGGACAATAGTTTTCTTTTCAGTTTGAGACTTTCTGTACCAGCTACTAAAATTTGTTGCATTTTGTGCCAAGACTCATGGCCAAACCAAGTGCTGAAAATTGATATGAATCTGAAAGTTAAGGGATGTCAGAATCCATTATACAGTTGTCTCCCTGTAGTGAACTTCATCTTTTATCCTGTTATGGTAACACTTCTGACTTTTTACTAGAACATATTTAAAAAAAACACCGTGAAGAGAGAATATGGCTTTCAGAATTTTTAAGATACTTAAACAAATTGAGACATTATTTAAAACAAATATAAATAGATCCTGATGAGATCTATTTCTTCACGCTTACCATTTCACATTAGATGTAATGTGTGAAGTGACTGTAAAATATGGATATCACATGTTTCAATAACCTTAGGGCATATATACACTAATCACTTAAGACACTTAAGTTTTAAACCAGTCTTGAAGAAAATGGCTTTGCTGTGCAGTTAAATACATAGGAAATTCTGGAACCAGTTTGGGGCCCAGATGGTGAAGACACCAACCAATGGAGCACTGGTGTGCATTAAGGGCTTTCTTTTGTGCTCTGGACTTCATTAAATGGCCAGTGTAGATGGGCCTCAAACCCACTGGCACATCATAGTGCATCAGCGAAGTTCAAGATAGGGAGATTCGCATGGAGATGGGAGGGGAGGATAAACTAAAGATGCTCTCACTATTTTACATATGCAGAAGAGGAATAATAGTCAGCAGACATATCCTTGTTCTCTCCGTCTAGCATACAAGCTTGAAGGGCATTTCCTCACATACCATTGTCAGTAGCTTCTTCCTATCAGTGTGTTGTGTGCAGACTAAAAGGGCTGTTGGACTTAAATCACATTGAAGTCAACCAGAATTAATTTTAATAGCTTCTTGAGCAAAGAGAAAAATACCAGTAAAAAAAGAAATATATCAGCAGACTCAGACAATCTCATGGCTTGATAAAATACAAAAACATTCTCAGGAAAAAATATTGTATTTTTATAAAATTTGCATCTCATCCTGTGTATCTCAAGGCTGCTTAAGTTGTTTTCTCCCTCAGTGGCATCTATAAATTAAGTTGATCTAATGGTGACTTGTTCAGGGTAATTTCAAGAGCTCTATGAATTTGAGCTGGAATCTACAACAGGTTCTCTCTAATACTTAACTTGCAGAGTGAAGCAGAAGCTATTATACCGAGCAGCCAACTGCAACAAACAGCTGTGTAGCTCCAGTACTCATAAAAAGTAGGTTCTATGCAATGCATCAGGGCAAACCAGAGATTCCAAATAGTCCTATCCATATCACAGGCTATTGTCCTTAATATATCTTTTTTTGCTTAATTCTTTATTAAATCTGGTTAATGCAGAGTATTTTACAGAAAAGATTTCTACTCAAATTAGTTTACCAGCAGAAAGTAACCACTGAGAAACTATACATAGTGGAAGGAAAATGGATGACTGGATAAACAAGTAATGCATATATTTAGTTAAGGTAGTGTAGATAGCTTCAGAAAAGGATCAGTACTGAAGGATTATGCCAAATTCTTTAAATGTATGTTCTTTAAAAAGTAGGGGTTCATGGTGCACTTATTACTAATGCTTTACCTTTTTTCAGCAAAAATTTGTTATATTCAGAATAATTCTTTCATTCAACTATTTTGATACTGTACACTAAACGCATCCACATTTGATTCTTATTACTAGAAAAATGAAAAGGGGGGAGGTGAGGCATTAGGTTCAAATTTTGTAAAAACTAACTAGATTTATCATAGGGAAATAATAGGGGTGATACT